CAGCCTCAGGAAAACAAAAGACAACTATTTTGAGATATACTACTATACTGTATTTTGAACATAACAGCAATGCTATCTTTACCAAGCACCCAAAACTGAGAAATTGTTTTCTTATGATTGTCTGAATGTGATAAGTTGGTCCAAAGCAGACTGATATATATAACAGAAGTCTGTTGTTTAATCTCGGACAGTCTGATAGATGTGACTAGCATTTGATCACTAGATTGGGTTGTTGTCACATGACAGGAAACGGTCCTTTTCTCTCTGATAAGTGAAGCTACTGCAACATGCCACAACACACAGCAGGTGAGAGAGAGCTGGCTGCCATGGCAACCCTCCCATATATTCATAAGCACGGGAAGAGGCCTAAGTTTTGCCGTCATCACAGACGTATTCAGGACACACACATATTGAAGTGTCTCTTACAAATGAGTTGTGTATTTTCACACTGGGTGTTTCTCTATAGGGCTGCTCCGTTTCTCTACAGAAAGGCCTGACTCGAAACCACTGTGTTTTCCTCTGGGGTTTGGCATAAGCAGCTGCAGAGAGAGTGATAAAATTGTTGTATACAAGGACACGCACACACTCAACATGCCCATATTCAAATATGCACTCTCTCACACACACACAGAAACAATGTTATTTTTAACATTCAGTGTTTAAACAGTTGCAATAAAACTCAGTCCAGGTAGATGGCATAGTCAATTTGATGCAAATGAAAGCAAGGCTGTGAGTTCAGTCCATTCAACATCTTAAATGGATAGAAAATAGCATAAAAGATAGAAAAATGAAAATTCTGTCATCATTTACTCACCCTCATTTGGTTCCAAAATTAATGTATGCCGTTTTTTTTCTTCCGTGGAACACTAAAGAAGATATTTTGAAAAATGTTGGTAACCAGTTGGTAACAGTTTTGACTTACATTGTATTGATAAAACAACAACAACACTGAAACATTTTTCAAAATATCTTCTTTTAATGTTCCACAGAAGAAAAAGTCATACAGATTTAAAATGGCATGATTTTCATTTTTTTGAGTGAACTATCCCTTTAAGGACATAGGTCATGTCTAATTGTTTTAACCTTAATAATTTCATATGAATAGAATTATGCTACAAAATAAACATTTTGGCATATATCAGACCTTTTAACAGAGGAGGCACAGATGCAATTGGCCTTATTGCTGCAGTTCTATTTCTATTGATATTTATGCATTTCACAATCAGTACAATTGTACATACGGGAGGAGAAGTTGGGTTGGATATTACGATTAAACCCTGGCTTTAAACATCAATCTCAGTGATTAAAGGATTGAGCATAATTTGTGCCACTTGTCTCAGTTGATAACATTTGATACGTCTCACCAGTGAGTCCTGATTGCCAGAGAGATTTATTCCAGGCATATGGTTGGCTGTCAGGGTGCACTGGCCAAGTTGTTCATGGACACAATGTGGTACCTGGATGCATCTCTCTGAGGATGGAAGACATTTAGATCTCCCTCCAACACCCATCCCTGTCTAACTCTAATCTCACAGCGACCTCCGTTTCTCTCCATCTGTGTTTGTGACTCCGAGACAGTTTGTGACCAGCATTTGGGAGGTGTTTGTGTGTGTGTGTGTGTGTGTGACGTTGTTTTCTCCTCAAAGCTATGATAAATGTTCCACTGTGTCCTCTCACTATGGAGCAGATGTACCTCCGGGGAGATCACACAACAAACACACACACATACACACAATCTGGCTCAGTCAGCCAGCTAAACTCTTGGCTTAGCTGCTTGGCTATGGTATCTTGTCTCACCCCTCTGTTGACATGGCAGCCTCAGCAGTGTCAAAAGCCCAAAGCTGTGCCCAACTAGATGAGCTATTCAAGTGAAGAGACATTGGTCACACTTTATTTTAAGGTCCAATTCTCGCTATTAACAAACCATTAACTACAACTTTTACCTCAATAAAATCCTAATTTGCTGCTTATTAATAGTTAGTAAGGTAGTGTTAAGTTTAGGCATTGTGTAGTATTAGGGATGTTGAATATGTTCATGTAGAATAAACGCTTTATAAGTACTAACAAACAGCCAATATGTTAATAATAGGCATGCTAATAAGCAACTAGTTAATAGTGAGAATTGGTCCCTATACTAAAGTGTTAGTGAAACATTCACACACAAATACACACTCACAGTATCTATTAAACGCCTTCCAATACTCAAGACAGACTTAATCAGGAAAACGTTCCTCCTTCACATAGAAATCTCCTCTCTGCTGAGACCAGTGATGTGCAAAAAGCATTAAAGATGCAAATAAAGCGCACACAGCAAATAAGAGAGTGACGTTCATTAAAAGGATAATCTAAAAAGTCCTTGGGTGTTGTTGCAGTTGTCTAGGTGGCTATACTCTAAAGCAAATGCACATGAATGAGGAGATGCGAACGAGTGAGTGGGAAAACAGAGGGAGGGAAGGAGAGCAAATGAGATCGTTAAATGCATCGAGGGAGCAATAGATCTCGGCGCATTTTAGCCAAGTGGCCAGAACGGCACAAACAAGCTCTGCGCCGCAGCGATAAGAGAAACGGCACCAAGTGCTGCAAAGAGCTGCAAAAGGGCAATGCTGCATCTCTGTGGTCAGTCAGTGGTGGGAAAACAAAGATGGATGAGACTAAACGCGCATTAGGACCTTGTGGATACATAAGAAACCTTACTATTCAATTTATGCAGCACAAAAAAGCCACATTCGTGTATTTTAAGAGTATTCGGTCCAGTAACGTTGTGTTGGTGTGTATTTATCTCCGTGCCGCACGTAATCCATCAAAAAACAATGTGAGACATGAAGACGTGGTGTTAACAGGATTTCTCCCAGAGTGAGCAGCCAAGTTGGTCAGACTAAGTGTCTCCCTGTGGCAGTAAATCGCTGTGTAGACAAGAGTAAATCCCCTCAGCCTGTCCACTGCACTCAGGGGACTTGGACTAAAACTAGCCTCTGGACTGGCCTGTACAGCTGGTTTATCTTCAAAGGCTGCTCTATAAAATACTATTTATGGCCAAGCATGCTAATTCTAGCCCATTGTTTATCAGGGATGTGCATCTCATGACTCAGGCCGATATGATACGCATCTCGAATGCATAGCCAACGATACGATACATTAAAGATACATATGAAGTAGCTACCAATGCGATGCGATACGATTCCCCCCGTTACGATGCAGTGCGATCCGATTTCGATTAGATTCGATTCAGAACATTGCGATTCGATGCAATATGATGCAATGGAGAAAATATGATAACTTTTAATGCCTCGAGGCCTGTTTCATAAGGCTTATTTCAGTTAGTCTGACTCATTGTCAAATGATTTGGTTCCATAAAGCAAATTTAACATGGGCCTAGATCAAGCTTAGTGACTGTGGCAACTTATGCTGGGAAACTGACCTGGTCTAAAGCAGGTTAACGGTCAGACTAAGCTGAGTTCCTCTAACACTGACCAATAGCAATCCAATGATATTATTCTCTCACATACTATTATTTGACTTTTTTTTTTTTACAGTTTCTAGCCATGCAGCCTTTCTCTCTGGTTGTATTACAACCATTGTATTGTATATGTACCTTTTATAGTTTGCAGAACAGATAGCAGAACATTACAACATTACAATCTAAAATGGCTCTTTAAAGCATTAAAATAACTAAAAAGTTAAAATCACTGAATTAAAAATGAAAATAAATAATAGAGAAAATGACTATATTTTAACTGCTATAAGAAACACACATTAACTCATTTGAGCTGAGTAATTAGTACTGAACTAGCTTACATTTGATTTACCCACTACAATAGTCCCTTTACAGTTACTGCTATCATAAAAATACACTTATATGTAGGTTTAAAATTCTACAAAAGACACATTTAATGTCCAACAACAAATATTTTAGCAAAATGTATATTTTACTCAGAATTATTGTGCTCCTATTCGATTGCGCTCTGTTTGTTTAGCGTGTATGCGTGCAGCAGCGCTCGTTCACTCGCGTCAGCCTCGCCCACTCCTGACAGCGAAATGAATATGTTTGCATGACTTTCTGACATTTACAGATGAAAAAAATATACCTGTGACATGTCAGTTATGCACTGAGGAAAACACAACATCTCAAATGCATTAAACAGCACAGATATATTAGCTGTTTGCGATGGTAGATCGATTTTATCCATGATCGACATTACGGGCTGCTTAAGAATAAGCGTGCACAAATTAGTGAGATTGTGTGAACTTAATTTGTCATTTATGGAACCGCTTTAGCCCCGATTGAATTGTTAGGTTATTTCAAGTCAGGTTTTGGACTTTAATCCCCGCTTTTCCTCGGGTATCCGTAGTGTTGTGATGCATCACAATCACGCAGCAGCAGTAATGAGAGAACGCACTTGAGAAACCGTTTAGAGAGGAGAAATCAATCTACATATAAAATATTGGTCACAGATTATTGGTCACTTTCTAAACAATAAAAGTATAGCACATCCACTAGTAATTATATATTAATAAATCAGTTTTTACCGATGCAAATATGTTAGAAACGATGCATCGCGATATAAATGCCAACTTGCAGCCGATGCACACTTTTTAAACCGATGCATCGCATCGTTAACTTTTTATGCCGATGCACCGAGCGAATCGGGGAATCTTCCCACCCCTATTGTTTATCATCTGTTTGTTTGTTTGCATAAAAAAGAAAGCTTCGAATAAATTACACTACCACACGTAGTCAAACCGTAAGCTATGGTGGTTTCAGCTTAGTAGAGTTGCTCAGAAAAGAACAGACTTATTGTAAATCATGTAAATCAATTTTACAGGTTTAGATTGTAGATATTTTCCTTGTCATAAAATTTTTCTAATTGGCAGCATATAACATCTAAACAATCATGACACAGACTGTAAATCTGGTAACTAGTCTAGAACAGTTTCAAAGCCGGCCAACTCCTACAGTACCAACACATGTTCTAAGAGGAAGTGTATGTTTGTTGTCCTACCAGGTGCTTTGTAGAAGCCATTCTCCTCTCTGTAGGGCAACAGATAGACTTCTCCCTCCTTCCAGATGAGGGACTGCTCTAGCCCTCCGGAGAACACACCCTTCCAGCCATCCGGATCTGAGCACAGAGTACACACAACAAAGTCTTAGGTCACTGGTGAAAGTGCTTCCATCAAGCAGCCTTTTACGATTTAATACAAAAATGTTCTTCACAAATTGAATGATCAGCATAACAAATTGCAAAATTGAAATTTCTGTACATTTCAGAATGTGTTAGTATTTGGTTTCATTTGGTTAGTATTGTGCTTCAATGGAAGCAAGAACTGACTATCTATACAAAGAGTCACATGATCAGTGTCACAAATCTGATCATTCCGTTTGAATGATCTGAAAAATTTGCAAAATCCTAAATAATTCTAATTAATTTGGCACCACAAATTTTTCTCTTATTTAAAATGGTCAAAATCCCCAAACTTATTTTTTTTAAATGTGTTCTCAGTTCTTTTGGAACCCACTGTATATCTCAACTATTACAAAAAAAAAATCCAAAAAGTGCTGATAAAGTGAGTAAAGAAAGAAATGTGTGATTGCAGTAGGAGGCAGGAATTGTGAACATTGATATTTGGAATGTAAAACATTCCAAAACAGTATAAATGTTTGATAAATTACCTTCTAGGAAGTCTGAAGTAATATTAATTGCCATGTACTGATTGGAGGGTGAACAAGCGAGGGAGTGTCCAAAGCAAAAGCATTTTTTACAGCCATCTGGGTTTTCCAGCTGGAGGTTGAAAGAGCCTGGTCTACACCTATAATCAGTGGTGTAGTGGAGGGTATACGCAGGTATACGGCGTATACCCACTTCTTTATCAGTCGGCTTTGCGTATACCCACTTCTAAATCCCCCACTTCTCCAGGCACCACTACACCACTGCCTATAATACAGATAAAGACACATAAAACAGACATATAGTGCTCAGGTTTCCTCACATTTATCAAAATAATTTATGTAAAGATCTGAAAAATGTGGTGCTTATTTTTGAGTTTGCAGTGGGCAAAGAAGAGTGCAAATGAGCATTTCTCCATTGATTTATTATAGCTGGAGGTATTTGTATATGTGTGTCTGATGTGACCTAATAGGAAGCTTATTAAAGGAATAGTTCACACAAAACTTATAAGTTTGTTTGAAACACTGAAAAACCCACATTCTTCAAAATATCCTCTTTTGTGTTCAGCAGAAGAAAGAAATTCATACAGGTTTGGAACAACTTGAGGGTGAGTAAATGACAGAATTTTCTTTTTTGGGTGAACTATCTAAGTAATAGAGTAAAAATACATAAGTAAATAGCATTGTAAGGTGTTAAGAGTAATCCAAATGACTACTCAAATGATAAAAATACAGATTTCTGCATTATTTGCACTTATTGCATTAACTGATTTGTCACAGATCTCTCTGCTAAATACAATAATATTAATGTCTCTTGCTCTTATTGTGCACATGCCAATGGAATGCATGCCAAAGGTTGCAGATGAGAAAAACAAGAGGTGAGATGTGAATTAAGACACACAGAGAGATGGTATGTGAGGGTGAGAAGCAGAAGGTCACCTGTTGCAGGACTGACCCTCCACATTAGTCTTGCAATGACAGCGTCCGTCTTCAGCTGAATACACTCCTACACTGCCCCTGGCGTCACACTCACACAACCTGTTTGAACACACACACGCCCAGATGAGAGAGCCACAACAGATGTGCGTGTAGTGTGCGGCGGGTCTGCTGGCTGACGGCCTCAGGTCAGAACTGCTCTGTCAGATGTAAACGTTTTTTTTGTTTGTTTTAAGTCTCACTATGATCTGCTACATGGCCTGATACCACAGTTTCACCTGGCTTGCCATTACCCATAATTCTCTGACAAGTAACCTCCCTCCACTCTCTCTTTTCATCTTTTTTCTTTCACGGTTTGCTCCAGTGAACCAACTAATTTGCACCCAAAAACAGTGATCCACATGTGTCACATGAAAGTGTAGTGGTGTATAAAATTTTTGTTTGACGTTTGCCTTTCTCCTGTGTTTTCTTCTGCATTATGTCATTATTTGCGTCACTGACTGTGCATATGAAAAGTGCAAATCTTCTCAGGTGGATATAATCTGTACACAGCTCAATATTGAAATGATTTCTTTTTCTTTCTTAAAATAACGGAAGCAAAATTAAGTAAAAGTACAACTGTAACAAACTCTAAAACAATACGTTTAATATAAGCCATAAATTAAACAACATAAAACAACATTAAACGTTACATTCCATTACAACGTTACTTTCCGTTACATTCCTCTGCCTCCCCCAAACAACTATTTCAACAACTTAAAAATGTTTTCCACTAAGTTCATTTGGAATAACAGATGTACCAGACTCCGCCTGACACTTTTATATTTGCCATATGATAGAGGAGGTCTAATCTATATTGGTATTATTGGGCTGTACAACTTAGAACAATAATGTTTTCTTTTTTATCTCAGGACTTCCCACCTTGGGTGGATATGGAATCGTCTGCAATTAAATCCAGCCTGCCTTTAAATTTATTTTTATGTTCATCAGAATTGAAAGATCTATAAAAAAAAATTCTAACCCTATAGTTATAAATATGATTTTTGTATGGTATGATGTGAAAAAAATATTTATGTGCCTTTTGACCTTTATCTTGTTTTAGTCCCATCTGGGGCAATACAAAGCAAAATGCAGAGCATTTCTTTGTGAAATTAAAATATTTTTAAATATTAAATATGTATAATGCATATTTTTAAAAAACATTTTAAAATATGCATTATACAGTGCATTTAATATGCATTATACAGAGTCAAGATGAAAAGAAAATATAATCTAAAATTTTTTTAAAGACAGTCAGTTCCACTCAGATACATTCATATAAACTCATATAAAATCGCGATTCGTTTAATATCTCAACTGACTTGAATTGTCACATATTTGTATCGATTTTCAACCAGCTCACGGTGCATCGTTACATCCCTAATAAGTGGTTGATTTACATAATGCGGATTTACATAACATAGTTGTATTGCATACAATGAAAATGTCCCTGAAACTTGCTTAAGATGCAGTGAGTTTAAAGGTATGCTATATCATTGTATGTGGGAGTGTGAAGTTGTCAAGAATTTTTGGAAATATGTGAAAGGGATGATAGAGAAGATCCTTGGTGTTAACATTCCACTGTCACCTTTACTCTTTTTATTTCATTTATATGCTGAGAAAAAAAAAAGATGAAGTATATATTTCTAAATATAAAAATAAATATAAAATTTTTGGGGACCTTTCAATTACATTGTTTTTTTGATGTTGTTTTTTGATGTTTTCAATATGTAAAGATAGTCTGCAGTGGTGTATTGTTTTTTTTTAGGGCTAGATATCACTAAAAAGGTCCTCAAAAAGGTGATATATAATTGTTTTATTTGTGCTGTGATTCGGTTAAATTGAATTAGTTTCACAGTATTGTTTTGTTCCAAAGAGGAGTGTGAAATATATTGGCCTAATTCTGCTCTGCATGAATTAAAGTTTTAAAATATACTAGTCAGATATTTCTGCATAATTCTGTATGCAAGAACCAAACGTTTTCTCATTCTTGGTAGGGATACTCTCGCTCTCATTACCTGCATCCGCCAGGGCCGAGAGAATGGAAACCGGACTTGCAAATGTCACACTTCACACCAGACACACCTGGCCAGCACATACACACTCCCTCTGCATCACACTGCAAACTCATAGAGCCTGGAGCGAGAAAGAGAGCGAGAGACAGCTTTTGACAGACTTTCATAGCCTTTGGGTTTTTTAACAAGTACATAGTTTCAGTTGAATTAAAGAATCATTTCCTCATCTAAAAATTCAGCCAATAAAGGTTAATAAATGCAAATTTTAACATATCGTATACACACATTTTGCCACCTGAAGCAAAATCAGATATTTCAGATACAAGACGAACATGATTAGTGTGCAATTAAACAGTAACAAATAATTTTAAAAGTGCATGACTTTTTCCCTAACGTTCTGGAAATTTAAATCCATTAATATTGCAATATCCAAATGCAAATTAATATTTAACATTACACCAATAGGCAGCATGAATAAACTTTTTTTTTATCACCCGGTGTCTTACGCTTTGTTAATATTAGCTATAAGAAAAAGAAAATCCTGTTTGAATTTATGTGCGTGAGACTTTTCTTCGCTGTATTTACTTCAGAGCTGTATATTTCTATGTATATATGTTCATTTGCATGAGTGTATGAGATAGAAAGCATTCAAGACCGATTACATGGGTTGATATAAGATAGTAGTGAATGTGTGTGTGTGTGTGTGTTTGTGTGTGAGTGTAACTCACCCATTGCATTACAGTTGCAGTTTTGGCAGGGCTGCTGCGGTAATGATCTAAAGAAGTTCTCTCTGCATCTCTCACAGTGAGGGCCAGCTGTGTTTTCCCTGCAGCCAACACAGCGCCCCCCACTTCCTGTGCTGCGGTACTGCTCTGCATCAAACACACATTCATCAGCAATACCACTGCAGTTACACCCTGAGAAACAAGAGAAAGAAGTGGAGGAATGTATATGGTTGAAAAAGAAAAAAAAAGAAGAACAACAGATCGAACTGATTAGAAATAGCAGTGGACGTTCATTTAAAGCTTTCGGTCAAATTCACACCAGCATGTTCAGTTTCAAAAGGTTTTGGCTCACACACACACTACCTAATAAGCTTCCCTGCCACAGGCCCCTTCTTCTCAACATATCATCGAACCAGAACGCACAAAAGTCAGCTTTTTATGCACCTGCTACCTGGGGGGGGGGCATTGTGGGACATTACTCGTTTTATTACAGCTCCGTCAGTCTGTTGACGCTGCAATAACCATCACATTATCACTCTCTAATGGGACACAGTTTCTTGAGCTGCCACTGAAGAAAGGAATGCATACTATTACAATAAAGGAAACGTGCTAAAGAAAGGGAAAAATGCTTATTTAAATTAATTAAATCTCAATTTATTTTACATCTAAATACATTCTTAATGAGGACACACAACTTATAAGTAAGCAGTTTTTTTCAATGATTTCTCTAAAACATAAACTAACATTCCAAAGGTATTTTTTTAATGAATTAATACTTTAATTCAGCAAAGATGCATTAAATTAATCAAAAGTGACAGTAAAGACTGTTACATTGTAATGACAAATTTCTAGTTCAAACAAATGCTGTTCTTTTTAAATTTACATTAAAAATTTTTTATTATGGTTTCCACAAAAACTATTAAATAAGCAGCACAACTGTTTTCAACTGTGATAATAAAAGTGTTTCTTGCGGAGCAAATAAGCATATTAAAATGATCATGTGACACCGAAGACTGGAGTAATGGCTGCTGAAAATTCAGCTTTGCCATCACATGGAATATATTACATTTTAAAACATTAAAATAGAAAATAGTTCTTTTATAACTGTTTTTACATAAAAGAGACTTCCAAAACCAAAACTGCACCAACTGCAAACTTTTAGACAAATTTAGATAACGTGATTGAAGCTTGGCATCATCCAGCAAATATACATGTTAATCGGACTACAATAGCCTTGGCGTTGAGCACATGCTTCAAAAGACAGCAATGACATGTAACAAATATGTCATGCATACATGGACAGACAGACAAAGTCTAACTCAAAAACAACACAAAAACCTGCTGGAACTCCATTATAAGTACGCATGTAAAAGTATTAATTCAACCAGTAGTGTGAATGTGGAGCACTGACAGGCAGTGTTCAGGAAATCTGTTAAAAAACTTCTGAAATCATTCTTTTTGCAATTCTGTTCGGTGCTACTTGTGACAGAGAGAAAACAAACAAACAAACATGTATTACTGTAAAACTATTGTGTTTAAAGACATCAAAACAGACTGGGAACAAACCTAGAAACAATTGGCTGGTTTCACATAGTTGCAACATGTTTTAGTAAATATGCACATTTAAGAGATGTTTGGATGTAATGAATAAACATTTCTAGGTTGCCTTAATTACTCTTCTAATTTTTAGTCATGCAAAGAAGAGTATTGCAATTTAATAAAGCATTTCCATTGAGGCATATGGTGGAAGCTTTCAGAGCCTGTCATGCAAATGATAAACTTGGCAGAGTCTGTGATGAAAAACTTTGTGAAGCAACCATGCACAGAATACATCGGCGGTTATTTCCACCTCTTCACCAACAGATAGTGCTGCTTTTGCACCCAACTTGTTTATTCATTAAATCCACTTTGATGGGAAGGGACAACAATTACCAACAGAAACCCATCAGTTGACCACTGAAACAGAGAGTTAATTAAAGGAACGTGGAGCTTAGTGGAATACAGAATGAAAATAATTAACATGGCTTTTTCGCCTTATGGGTTTGTCAGAATAGCCAATTATAGCATCCACCTAAAGTATTTACCAGAGACGCATGACAGCACACATGCACACAACACATTACACGAATGAAACTTTCTTAGTTATTGTGCTGAAAGGCTAAATGATGTGTTGTTTAACTGAATTACTGACTGCTGTGAGCATCTTCATGTAAGATTGTGCTGTAAATACAGTGCAGCTAAGGCAAGTGAAAGAAACGTGATCTTTTCAAGATATTGCTATGATATTTACAGCAAATCCTGATGATACTGTTGACTTTGTACAACACCGTTAACACTGTACAACATACAATGCTAACTTTTTTGATCTTACAAACTTCTTTGGTCTTTTTGATCTTTCAAACTTCTTTGGTTGCACAAAATTGATCTACAGTACATTTTAGATAGAGAACTTAACACATTTAAATTTTTTTTTTTTTTCATTAAATCAGTTCAGTTACACTGAGTAAACTAAGCAAATTCAATCACAGCCAATGCGCAAGAGGCAACAAATTAACTTCTTAATTTCAAAGTTAATTTGAGAAAGTAAAACTCTGCAGTCTCCAACAGAATTTCATGTTTAATGAAGTTTAAAGCATTAAATATATAATGCTGAAGTGAAGAATCAAATATAAGCTAAATTCACTGTTAGTTCATTTCCAATTCTCAGATACTCCAAACACAACGCACAGATGGGCCTTCAGCTAAACATTCAGTTTATTATTCACAGAAAAATATTATTAACTAGTAAAATGAAAAACATTGTTCAATTAATCATGTAATGTAAAATTTACTTGGGGCCTAATGCATTTTTTCAGCTCTTTTTCTTGATTATAATCTCAATGGGTTGTGGTGTCAATAAATTAATGAACCAGATGATAAAATATTACCTTTTAACAGGATTAACAAAGAGCTTTTTACAACTTCAGGGTGAATCTACTTAAATAGATAAAGAATCAGGCCATACTCACTCACACACTGGTTGGCTGAATCGGCGGTGGCCCGTGCCCATGGCCGGTCCTGGTAGAAGGGGGCACAGTGCTGACAGTCGACCCCTGCAGTGTTGTGCTCACAAGCACACACCAAACGTCCGTCCTCATTGGTGACGCAGTCACTGGCATGACCATTACACTTGCACCTGCAAAACAGTTGAGAGTATGTTAGCATACTTTTAAGGCTCACTGTTTTCTGTGGACACTCATAAAAATGTTCCTTTGCCTAAAAAAAAAACTTAAAAAAAAAAACTCAGGATGTGGCATATGGGAGGGGAACAACAAATGAGCCAGATGGTTGAATTTAAAACCAAATGACACCAAAACACAAAGCAAATTATGATATGCTACAGGGACCTTAAAAGAAAATATGAATTGATCAACATTGTCAGATATACGAAGTAGAAACACATTCTGACCACAGTGTAGATGTTGCATTTATTATTGCTGTACAAGTCATGGCCAAACATTTTGGCAGTGACATACATCTTGTGTTTTGCAAAGTTTGATGCTTCAGTATTTGTAGATTATTTTTCCACATGTTTCTATGGTATACTGAAAAACAATGATAAGCATATCATAAGTTTTAAAGGCTTTTATTAGCAAAAAAATATAACGAGTCAATATTTACAGTGTTGACCCTTGTTCTTCATAACCTCTGCAATTCGCTCTGGCATGCTGGATATTAGCTTCTGGGCCAAATCCTGACTGATGGCGATCCATTCTTGCCTTATTAGTTCTCAGTCGCCTTTTGAGGACTGACCACAGGTCTCTATGGGATTGAGATCCGGGGAGTTGCCTGGCCACGGAGCCAAAATTTAAATGTAATGATCTTCGAGCCACTTCTTTATCACTCTTGCTTTGTGACATGGTGCTCCATCATGCTGGAAAATGCACGGATCATCACCAAATTGCTCATGGATCGTTGGAAGAAGTTGCTCTTGCAGGACGTTTTGATACCATTCTTTATTCATGGCAGTGTTTTTGGGCAGAATTATGAATTATGTTTGAAAAGCAACCCCACACATGGATGGTCTCAGGATGCTTCACTGTTGGCACAACACAGGACTCATGGTTGCAGTCAATTAATGTTAGCTGGTCATTTTGTGTCAGGATCAAAAAACAGTGAAATTTGTTTTTGTTTTTTTGTGAAAAGTTAATTTTTTGGCCAATGAAGCTTTTAGCAATTATTTAAAATGCATCTGAGCACTCTACACAATAATCTAGAAGCAATGTGAATGAACACCACAACAGCTTAAGCAGCAAACTTTGCAAAACACAACATTTATGTCACTGCCAAAACTTTTGGCCATGACTGTAGGTTTGGCAAGAAATTAGCTTAGCAAGTTTTGTGTGTTTTCACCAATGTACCCTGATAACTATTAACATAGTTACATTAACATGTTTGTGCAGTTTATTATAAGATCAAATAAACAGAAAAGGTAAAAAGACACTGATATATAAGCCGATGAAGAAGAAAAAAATCAGACATGCACAAACTCAAACACAGACACAAACAATATGCAGGTGGTGACAAACACAAATACACAAACACTGTCTCTTCCACATCCTGTTTATACCACAAATACACTGATGATGTAGAATGTAGATCACATGGCTGGCAAAACTCTCTCTCTCTCTCTCTCTCTCTCTCTCTCTCTCTTACTAAAGTCCAGTTTCCCTCGATATTTAGAGCTCTTTCTCTTTCTAATTGTCCTATTCATCACTCACTCTATGGCCATTTTCCTTCATTTGCTCCCTTTCCCTTTTCTCTTCGTCAGTATACATCTGCCAACAAAACATTGGTGACAGCTGAAAGACACATCTATACAGTTGTGATTTTATTTACCTGCCCCCCACGGAAAAATCCGATATGGCATAAAAATATGAACGAAGCACTTTGGGATCTTTGAAGAACTCATCTCCAAAAGTGTTCAGTCTGTCCAGAGAGATGAGGATATCAGTAGCTGTCACCCAGTCCTAGAAAGAGAGAGGGAAATAAAATTAATTCTTTTTTTTTACTAAACTCAAAAACATGAAATCCTATGAATAAAGTAACCTGATAACATAAGGTTAAATGTTAGATTAAGTAGGAAAACATTCTTACAAATGCAGGTTGCATTGCACTCTGATAAATTGTGAAACCAACTGTTATACTGTAGATATAACAGTCTGTTCTAAGATCTGAACATGTATGCAGCAAAATATAACAAATTTAAGAACCAGTCAACTGTTATTGCTATATATATATATATATATATATTACAGTTATATATACTTTAATAACCATTTGTTTCAAGATATACAAAGATATATACAAGATATACATTTGAACAAAATATAGCTAATCATTCATTATAAAAACTAAATCTGCATAATTGCAAACTGACTACAAAATGTCGAGATCCAGCTAATCACGATCAACTGCCCACTAAAATGTTTATGTAGGTTTCTTTCTAGATTTTGATATTGCAGTGCAAACTAGTTATTAACATCCTTAAAATGCAAACCATTAACCACTTCACACTCTACGGCCAACAAAGAAAGTACACACAGTCCTTTCTGAGTCATTTGTTTTTAGCTCATTCACTCATATTTAATTTACTAAATAATTCTCAAATGGTTTACTCTCTCCAAAGAAAGGTAAAAATGTAGACATGTATGTCTTGTTTTCCAGAAGGGACAATGAGTGGATTTGCTCACTTGCCCATATGGTTAATCCACCTAGGACTCTACCGTTATATATTAAGAAATATTTTAGCAAGCATAAATTGAATTTATCAAAAATAACAGTAAAGACATTCGTTACATGAGATAAGGCATTAATGTTACTAATATATTTATTTTACAGAAGATTTCTATTTCAAATTTCAGAAGGATCATGTGATACTGAAAACTAGAGTACTGGCTTAACAGAACAGTACTGGCCATAACATAACATAAAAAAAAATACAATTGAAAATATATTAAAACAGAAAACATGACTTTAAATTGAAATGTGGCACAATATTACTTATACAATAATTGGATTTTATGTTATCAACGTAGTAAAGCAAATTAAAATATTTTCGGAAGAATATTTATTTCCTATTAAGTTGACAACTTACTGCTTAAAACTGTTGTATAAAAGATATATAAAAAAGTTTTATGATTGATTGATGATTAAATTATGAATGATCACAAACTTTTTAGAATAATCTTTCGAATATATATCACATCATATATAATAAAATTCTGTCAACCCTTGACTACCCTAAACACATTTTGTTTCTCAAATAGTAATTTTACTCTCCCATAAGGTAAAAGGGCAAGAGTCACAGACAGAAACAGAAACACGGCTGATGTAGTAAGTCACATGACAATACCAACAGCAGATTTACATTATATGCATACTACTTACTACTACACACATACATAATTTCAGAATGTACATTATTAACGGTCTAGAAGTAAATTTGAAATCAGATGTAGCTAAGGTGAGAGTCTAATCTGAAGTCATTGAAAATAGTGCACCAAGACCCATAACTTTTTTCATAATTCTTGTGTTGAGTGAACTTCAAGGAAAACAAAGCTAGAACCTCTGTGTATTCAAGTGTATGTTTTACAGACAAAAGCAGAAATAATGAGATAGGAGACAAAAACAGAGCTTTCCCTATTTTTTCCATGTATGTGTGCAGCTGCATGTCTGTTCAAATGTGTGTTTTGGTTTGATCATGCACTTGTGTTTTAGTGTGAAAGCAATAGAGTTTGGTCATCCTTATCAGTGGCTGGCCTGTTGACCCTTGTTCTGTCTGTGTTAATGGGTTTTGAGCCCGGTGTGACGGCCTGGCGCGTGGAGGTGAGTGCACACATCTTTCATTCTGGGGGAACAAGATAAAAGAAGGAGCAGAGCTGGCCAGCACGTCCCAGCAAGCACATCCAAGCCTCCTCTCGGAGGGATGGTAAGTCTATTCCTATTCAGAGCAGTTGAGTAAACAAAAGAGAAACCCCCCCCCCATCTCTGTCATTCTCTGGCCAATACACAGCTCTACACAGTTTTTTATTCCTAGTTTCCTTTTTCAACTCTCTCTCTTTCTTCTCTGCCTCTCGTTTTTGTTTTCGCAATACTTGTGCATCATGTAGAAAAAGACGCATTTTGGGGGAGAAACAATGTGCCATGAATCATAAACAATAACAGCTCCAGTACTACAGAATGAGAGGAAACTAGAGAGAAAGATACAAGCTGTGTTCTACAACCTAAGGAGCTGCCTCTGTAGACAGTATTTTAAGCCCAAAAACAGAGCTTTCCCTATTTTTTCCATGTATGTGTGCAGCTGCATGTCTGTTCAAATGTGTGTTTTGGTTTGATCATGCACTTGTGTTTTAGTGTGAAAGCAATAGAGTTTGGTCATCCTTATCAGTGGCTGGCCTGTTGACCCTTGTTCTGTCTGTGTTAATGGGGTTTGAGCCCGGTGTGACGGCCTGGCGCGTGTAGACAGTATTTTAAGCCATCGTAGTCACACTCCCGATGTGAAATCTGTGCCAAAAAGTAGGCAACTCAATTATGCTGCCTTCTAATATATCTTCTTTTAGCTGAATTATTGGAGACACTGCATTTATCCTTCACAGTGGTGGCACATAATGCACAACAACAAACTCCAAGATGGTATACAAGATATATAAAACTATATAGTAATAAATAACAATAATAATAATATTTAATTAGAATTATTTTTAAATACATATACTGTCATTTATAAATACATATATTTATAATACATATATTGTCATCAAAACCATTATAAAACTATGAAACTTAAAGTATTAAAATAATAGAGAACTGATTATTTATATATGCCAAATTGTGTGTGCTATGTATATGTCTGCTTATTAAAGTATTGAGTCATTCCTGTCACATTGCCTGTATTGAAATCAATTGTGAACCAGGTCACCCACTATTTATTATGATTTTCTACCTACCGTTCAAAAGTTTGGGGTCAGTAATATATATATATATATATATATATATATATATTTAAACAAATGAATACTATTATTCAGCACTGACACATAAAATTGATCAAAAGTGACAACCTGTTATTGTTGAAAATAAATTCTCTTCCTAATAAATGCTGTTTTTTCCCCCCTGAAATCCTGAAAAAAGTATAGTAAAAAAAATATTCATTCACTTTATTTATAAAGCACTTTACTGCACCTGCAGACCAAAGTGCCACACAAACAGCATAAAAAAACAACAACATGGAACACATAAAAACAACACACAACCTAGTAATACATTGAATACTAACCCAGCCTCTCAAAGGCTAAAGACAAAAATATAATATATATAATAAAAATATTAAGCGGCATAACCGTTTTCAACTCGGTTATAATAAGAAGAAATGCTTCTCAAGCAGTGCACCAAATCAGCATATTAGAATGATTTCTGAAAGATCATGTGACAATGAACATTGGAGTAATGATTGCTGAAAATTCAGCTTTGCCACCACAGGAATACAATACATTTTCTAAATGTGTTGGGGAAAAAAACACTGAGTGGTGTCTTAATTTGCAATAATATTTCACAATATTACAATATTTTTGCTTTATTTTGACCAAATAAATGCAGCCTTGGTGTGCATAAGAAACAAATCTTACTGACCTCAAACTTTTGAATATGTACATTTGTATCTACCTTTTTCTTGCCGTAAAAATGGGCATTTGTAAATTCTATGGGTCTAGCTTCCGGTCTCATCCGCGTCCAGCTATTTTTAGCTGTACAAAACAGTTCATTTTGCTGCTTGATATCGAAAATTGGTGTGTCTTATCATATTATTTTAATGTATTATCTTAATTATGAACTGGTATGAACACACTGGTTTGTAGTGCAAACAGTTTTACCGTTTACTGCACGTTGTTATTCTCCTCGTTATTTACCTATAGCGGCTAATGAACCGGAAGTCTCGCCCATAGGCTTACTTACGCGTTGAAGAAAAAGGTGGATATAGATTAAAGGGGTCATATGATGCGATTTCAATTTTTCCTCTCTCTTTGGAGTGTTGCAAGCTCTTGGTGCATAAAGAAGATCTGTAAAGTTGCAAAGACTAAAGTCTCAAATCCAAAGAGATATTCTTTATAAAAGTTCAGAGTCAGCCACACCTACCTAAAACGGCTCGTTCTAACACGCCCCCACATATCTACCTCACTATGTGGGAAGATTTGCATAACGCCGCCCAAATGTTCACGCAAAGAAAGAAGGCGTAGCTTTTAGTCTCACTGTAGTTTTGTTGACGCTGCAGCCATGCTGTGAAGATGCTGTGTGCTTCGTTGCGAAAGCGAAACTACTTTGTTTGGTCCTTTTTAGCAGCATCATATGACCCCTTTAATATGTCATAGAGCCATAGAGATGCATAGCTTTCTTTACCACTTTATCTGCCTCAGTCAGGACTGTGTTAGCAACTGTTCTGTCATCTCACCACATTTGTGCCATGATTAATTATAATGCCACTACAAAGCTCAGCTCACTGGCTCAAACCCTATATGCCATGTGTAGCGTCTGGACCAATCAAACACACAATATATATTTTGTTAGCTATATTTAACAAATACTCTGTAACACCCCTCATAATTATTCATATTTCCCTTATGAGCTGATTCGCTACACATGAAAGAAAGCACCCTGGGTTAATATTAAAAGCACTAAAGTATTAAATTTTGATTTCAAATGCCATGAGACGACTATGAAAGGGTTGCTAATCCATAATTGCATATGTGGCACCAGAATATGCCTACAAAGCAAGTTAATTTTAAAATCTGAGAGACTGATTAAGAAATAAATAACTTAGAACAAGTGTTCAGATTTCCATTAAAAGAGCTCAAAGGGTTAGGCTACTACTCTGATACAAATAATCCAGTACTCTATGGTAGTGACATTCAAAGTGAATCCAGATCTTAAAGGGGTCATATGATGTGATTTAAATTTTTCCTTTCTCTTTGGAGTG